TTTCAGGTGCAGTAACTCGTGATGACTGCTTTGGATGTGTTGTTGTTGTCGTAGTTGAAGTGGTAGTAGTAGTTGTTGTTGTCGTTGTTGTTGTTGGTGGGATCCAAAGTTGCTTGACCTCTCGTGTGGTTTGAATACAGTGCCGTTTCTTGAGCAGAATGAAGTTGTGCTAACATACAACCAAAACCAGATAATTTACATAGTTTCAGTTAGCTTTACTTAAATGTCAGCTCTCTGCTCCCTGTTTTTGTAAATTTATTCTACGATTTAAATTAGTAATATCACGCAAACACAAAAATAAATGATACAAGACCTTTAACCTTTGATAATAAGTACAAAAAAAATTTCAATTTTAGCAGTTGATAATAAGTTCTGAATGTATCTATGATTCAAACAAAATATTTGAGTTTTTTAAATTAAAAATGCATTTGAATTTCGATTTTGAAAGAATTGTTAACTTTTCTACTTTTTTTATAAAAATTTTTTTCAATTCTGATAAAAATTTCTCATCAGTAGTTATCAATCATTTTAAAAAATAGAATTTTCGCAGTAGCATAAAAATTTTTAGTGCAGAAAAGAAATTTTGTAAAAATTTAAAATAATTTTGAAATTACTATTTTAATGCTTTCATCAATAATCACTGCTAGAAATTATAAAATTTTTTGGCAAATAAAATATTTTGAAAACGAAAATTTCCACGCAATTACAAAAAATTCAAAAATTTTTTCATCCAAATCAAACATAAAATTTACAAGTTCAAAATTCAGAGTTACGATAGTGCAATTTGAATTTGACCGTAAGAGTGGTAATTATGAAAAGCTACAAAATTTAGATTGCCAATCAAAAATGAGATTGTCTGTAGTAAACGTTAAATACTAAAATTTAATATAATTAAGCGTAAAATACAAAAGTAATCATTCTGATAGAAGAAAAAAATTATCGATTCAGTAAGGTTTAATTTAAAAAAATCTAGGTTTAATTAAAAAATCATCAGTGCATGCATGTACCATGTTAAATCCGTTTATGATTTTTTGAATTATTTTACAAAATATCAGTCTGTGATAAATTTAACAGTTTTTAAAACAGTTTAAATAGTTTAGTTCAAAGTATCTAAATATTTTTAGCACTTTAAAATCCAAAAATATAGTATTAATAACCGAACATGCAAACTATCACTTTGAATAATTTTCAAGTAAATATTTTATTATAAAAATTTTTCATGCTTCAAAATATCTTACTGAATAAGAAACTGTATATTTTCAAAAAAAAATTTCTCTTTTTACGTCCTGTTATTTATTAATTTTTGGGGGTAAAGTAGAGAACTTACGTATAATTATACTTTTAGATTTAATTAACAATTCATTAGTGCATGTAACATCATAAATCGGTTTAATTAAATTATTTTACAAATATCGAATTATTTACAAAATTATTTTACAAAAATAATTTAAATTATTTCTTAGTTATTTTCCAAAATATACTCTGTAATATTAATATACATACCTCTGCTACAGTTGTCATATCATTTATTTTTATAACTTTCAACAAATTTATCAATAAGTCTTAACTTGGAATAAAATTTGAAAACTCACAATTATTGAAATTTTCACAAATTTTAATTAAAAACTTAAATTGTGAAATAATTATTTCATGATTTGTAATTCCACAATCATTTTTTTATAAAATGAAAAGCTAAATAATAACTGAGACTAATTGATCTTGAATAGTTTAATGCATAACTAAGAATGGAACTTATTAAATAGATTAATTTTAACCTTTTTAAAATCTTTTGTTAATAAATAATTAAAATTCAAATCATTTCCTTACATTCATGATTTTAATACAAACTTGTGATATATTTTCATAAATAATTTTATTTTAATATTTAGTGCAAAGTTTTTTGTATTTTTGACAAATTATAACTTTTAAGATATTGTTGTGATAATCATCAGTTTTTTAATAAGATCAGGATAGCGATTTTTCTTTATCACTTTTCTTATGATTTAATCAGCGAATTACTGGCTCCATGTAATTTTTCTTTTTATCAAAAAAACAAAATATGCTAATTAGCTTTTTTAGTCTAGAATTACTGCCTAAAATAAATAACAATTTAGACTAAATTATAAGCTAATCCTTCAATTTATCCGACAAGAAAGTAAATTCAAATTTTTTAAAGTAATCCTCTGAAGTTTATTCTATACTTGATAAAATTATCAATCATTACAGAAATAATCAAATCTAAATAATTGCTATCACTATATAAATAAAGTCTTAATCCTTTGAAGTAATATTATTACTCAAAATAAATAAGGCTTAAAGTTGTATTTTAATAACTCAAACGAACAGATTACTGTAATTGTTAAATAAAAAAACAATTCTGTAATATTTCATATGCGTAAAAATATTACTGTAAATTGCACAGTAAAATCAATATGACTATACTCTAACTAATTAATTTGACATTTCAATAAAAATTTGAAAACCAAGGACTCACAGAGTCAAGAGTACGGTTCCGACACAAACATGGCCAATTTGCACCCTTAGTATCATGGTTTGCTCGCGGTTCACAAAATCCATCGCCTGAACAAACATTACAGCTTTCGCGATACCATATTCTAAAACAGTCACATACTCTTGCTGTAATTTATTTTTGATTTTAGATTTTGTGGTCAATTAAAGTTTAGGTATTTTATGCTATGGTGAGAAAATTGCGCAAAATCCATGCTTGATTTGAAGCTGATGAATTCAAAGTATCATTATTTTTTGAAAATATTTACGTATATCTAATTGTAGACGACATATCTGCTATTAACATTTATAGAACTCACGAAAACTTGACTTAAAGGATATAAAACATGAAAACTTGAAGTTAACGTTCAGCATATAAAACGTGAAACCTTGACTTAAAGTAAATAAGCTTTTAAAAGCTAACGTTACACAACGTGTAGTTGACAGCTTTTTTAGTATATGTGAAAAGATAATTTTAGTATTAAAAAACTAACGATATGTTAAAGCAAGGCCAGGCCATATCCATTTCGTTATCATATGTACAAATGCATTTATCATGAACAGTTGGAGGGATGGATTGGAATCTGATGCACTCCATCTCAGCACGACCAATACATCTACAATGTGCCTCTGCCACCTCGTAGCGCACTTTTTCTTTCTAAAAATTTGGGTTTGACCTTTGACTGATAAAGTATGGAAAAATCAACTTAGCAGCATACATTAATATAATAAAATTTAAAAATGAACTAAATTATTTTTCGGCAAAAAATTGTTCATTTATGAAAAAATTTAAATTATTGCATGCTGGGGCTTAGCCTTATTACTTTTTATTGAACTTAAAGTAATTTAAAGAGGTCAAAAGTAAACTTTCGCAGGTTAAGTTAGAAAAAAATCATTTCCACTCTGCTTATTCAAATGAAATCTTTTAATAAATCGTTACTCAATTTCGATTTTAAATTTTGATATTTTTTTGCTCAATTCTTTAACACAAAATAGCTTACTGCTCGTTTACTTCTCGATATTTTTACGACTGTGCTTTCATCTGTAATTACTGAACTAAATTTAGCTTCTAATATAGATGAAAGCTTAATCAAGAAAGTAGTGATAAAACTGAAATACTTTTTAAAAAAGCTTAAAAAATGCATTTGGACTTGAACACATGGTAATAAACTTTGAAAAACTGATTGCAGTATTACTTATAATTGTAATTATTTGCTGTAACTTTGCTAATAATACTATTTTAATTAATAAAATTATAAAAATAATAATTATTTGTTGTCTAAAGTCTAAAATTATTTAAAGATATTTTTAATAAATACCAAAATTTTGTAAAATATCATTCATTGTTTTTTCTGCTTCAGCTCCTTTTAATCGCTTTTTTACAAGATGACTTTTATGCCAAATTCGATCTTGTTCAAGACTGTACTCGTCCAATAAAGGTTTCACTTTTTCTAAACGTTTTTTAACACTTCCAGACGACATTTGCGCTTTTACTTGATCGTTTCGAAGCGATTTTGCATTTTCATAAACATCCATCTGCGCAAAAGTTTATTTTCGTACTTTATATTTTTTATTTGCATTTTAAATGCAGTTAGCCAATACAAAATTATTGCGCCGTAGTCATACGTTTAGTATAAGATTTTTTTTTCCAAAAAGTTTACGAAAATTTTAATAGCTTAATGGATTTTTCTTATTGCCACCTTAAAATATTATTAAAATTTATAATAATAATTTGGCTAATTTAAAAAATGGCTTATTCAACTTTGTAATAATCTTATTTTAATAATTATAAAAGTCATAATGTTTTAAATAAAAAAGTACTTAAAAATGTTGACATTATAATTAAAAATTCAATATGTAAAATATGATTTTCAGCTTAAAAATGCCTTCTGCAAAAAAAATTAACTAAATTATCTCATTTCATTTTTCTGAAAATATATCAAGTTTAAATTAAATATTAGAATAACAAAACTCAAATTAAATATTAGAATAATAAAACTGAACACTTTTTAGTATAATTGACAAAGTATGATAAAATAAAAAAACACCAACTCAACAATTTAATAAAATTTACATATATCTTTGTTTTTTCATCCGTAAAATAATTCTAAAAGTAGTTGAAAACTGTTAAAATTTATTTAATGATTAATTATAAAGGTACAAAAACTAACCGTGTCTTTAACAGATGGTATCATTCGTACCAAACTTTTTTTGTACGGATTCAGATTACAAAAAGTCACAGCCGGAAATTGCATATAATCAAATTTGAGCTAAAAATTTGCAAATTTTTTTTGTTTAGCAAAAAGTATTCAAAAATAAATATTAGGAAAATTTTTGAATTTAAGAATATTTTTTGTTTAATCAAAAATTAATGGCTTACTGCAATGCTTGTAATCTTTTCGTGTCGATTAAACTTCATCACAAGTTGCTGTGCTTGAATAATTAGAATAATAAAGCAAAAAATTATCCCAAATAACCATAATCGAGCTGTATACGGATTTCGAGCAATAAAGATACGTCGAACTCCGTGAGCTGTTGTGTTCTCAGAAAAGTTACGAATTTTTTCAATTATACCACGACTTGATTCAATATTTTCATCACCAGAAGGATAAAGAAATTCATTTTTGTGGAAATGACGTAAATGACGTATATCATCAGGTAAATATCGATATATCATTGAATTTCTTGAGGATTGAAAATTTGGAAAGCTACTTGATTGGCCATTTTTGGTCGATCCTAAGGATTTCATGCCTTTTCTGAAAAACACTTCTTCATTACTTCATCCGCTTTGCTAGCTAAGTTAATTATTATGCTTATGCAAAGTAATTTGTCGTCAAATTATTTAATGAAAAGCTAATTTATACATCTCAAGAAGTATAACTTTGATTAAGTATTTTTTTTATACCAAAAAAGTACTGAATTATTGTTTAACTAAAGAAATAAGCAAAAAAGTGAATAATTATAGCAACTTTTTTGATGATAATTTTTAGTAATTGAGTGAGTAATTTAAAGTAAATAATTTCTGATTAAATATTCTTTGGAAAATTTTAATTTGCTTAATTCTGAATTTAAGAGAAGTTCATTATCATAACTGTTAGGTCGATTGTAAATACAAACTAATAATTTTATTGAAAAATTAATTAATTAATTAAATTGTTAAAATAAATATAGCAATAAATATCGATTGATAAATTTATCAAAATAAATATAGATAATTTTCTCAATTCTGTGCCAAAAATATTTTAATCAAATTTTGATTATTGGAATGTTCATCTTCTGATACAACTTTTATCCACTCTCTACTATCATTTATTTTGCTTGTATTCATTTTGAACAATTTATTTCTTATAATAGTAATATTTTTTACTTCTCTAAAAGCAAATTATCTTTAAATTGTTCTAATTTTGTCATTCTATCTGTAATATTAATAATTAGATATATTATGCTAAATAATAATGTAATTAGCAAGATTAAAACATAAAAAATGATAAGATTTTTAAACTTCAAAATAAATGGCTGCTTGTGAGATATTTAAGCGGAAGACGAACAATTATGCCATCTACCAGTAGACCTGGTAGTTTTAATTTTTTGTTTGTCTATTTTTCTGAGCAAAATTAAGTAAGTAAGTAAGTAATTTGAATCCTCGCTAGAAAGCAATTCTAAGTTTTTTTCTTGCTATAATGTTTGCAGAGGTAAGTAAATTCAAATATTAGTTCAAAAACATTTTGAACATTTTTTTTGCTTCTATGTTTTTATTTTTAGAAATTTATCTTCAACTCAGGGTATCTCAGAGCTAAGTTTTTTAAAAAAAAAGATCTCGACAAGTTTTTATTCCTGAAGCACTGAGTTGTAATTTGAAAAATCTGTAAGCATAAATGGATCAAGGAAATTGCTTTCTGTAATTTATGCAAAAAAAAAAAAATCAAAAAGAATATTAATGGAATAAAGTAAATATTAATGGTTGAATTTTTTACACATAGATATAAAAAGTATTTATAACAATGCATTTAATTTTTACGTAACTTTTCGATTTAAATGCACAAAGGTTAAATTTCAATAGATACAGTATATTTAGGCATAATTTGAAATATTTTGTTTTAAATGCAATAATCATAATGCTTAATTTATATTCCAAAATTTTGAAAAATAGGAAGAGAATAATGTCGTTAAAAGATAATGATAATCATTAAAGGAAATATTAATCACTGAAGTAGTTTGAAAATATTGGCCATATCAAAGATATTAATTAATCTAACTCTATTTTGTAGTACAAACTCGAATTGCTTCAAAAATTTGTAAGAATAGATAGTAAAAAATGGCTGAATTTGATCATTAATTTATTATTTTAAAATAGAATCGTTCAAAAAATAAGCAATTTACAAGTTTTAATTAACAGTTATTGACTGTCAATATTTAAAAGTTAATATAAATGTAATATATTTGTTAAAGTGAACTGTCTGTGAAATTATTTTAAGGAAAAGCTTTATAATTTTTGATAAATTTTATCTAATATTTTGATAGTTTTTTAAATCAAACTTGTTTAATGATATAATCAAATAAATGACAAACCGTTGTTGATAAGACTTGTTATCAGTACTCCGTTGGTATTCACTGTCATCTTCAGATTGTCCACTTGGATAAATCTGTGAATACACTCGAGAATGAGGCTGAGTGCGGGCTGACCACGATGAAGCGGTCATAAAAACATTATCATTTGAAATTTGAGGCTGTTGATATGACCGCGAAGTTTGTTGCAATTGTTGCTGACGATTGCGATGCTTTTTTTTATGCGAATTTTTATTAAGCAATGGCATTCAGACAATAATTTTTGAATCTTTATAGTTTGTTCACAACGATGACCATTTTATTACTGTTGCTAATCGCCAATAGAATATAGATGTGCTATTGTATGTGATATTATTTAACTAATATCGCAGTCTTGTACTCATACAATACGTTGATGGGAATCAGGAATCTGTGGATTAGTGCAAAAATAATTTGAGGTATTCGAAAATATACTTACAATGTTGAAAAATTTGATAAATACAGTAGATATTAGCTTTGTAAGTTCCTGAAAATGACTGATTTTAAAAGTAAAATATATTTATACAATCTAGTAAATAACAAAATAAATATGTTTTTCAGCATTGTAAGTATATTTTCGACTAAATAGTTTGTTACAAATTCAGATAGAAATGATCAGTTGCTTAATTTGCATATTTATTTACACATTTTACTGAAGAAAAATTCAACAAAAAATTTAATTATTTAAATAAAATATTAAATTATATAACGTATGTGACAACGTGCCACGTTGCCTTTTCAATTTTTGTACTAAATTTTCTTAAGATCACTCATAGTAATTATATTTTTGAATGAATTTTGTGTAGATCAGTCAGTGATGATTTAATTGCAAATGCATTAATTCGCATACTTATATTAGTATTACTATACTTAAAATAATTGTATCGATTACAAAAATTCAAATTTTAGCCATCATTCTCTATGTCAATCACATCATAATGCATTTTTGAAAGTAAGTAATAACAATTATTAATTACAAATAAAAGTGAATAATATTTAGTGAATTTTCCAATTTTTTAATTAATATTTATGTAATTTTTTCAATATCATTTAAGAATTGCTGAACAGAGAGTTTTTGAAATTCTTTTTGATAAAATTAATTAATTTTGAAAATCAATTTTTGAATATTTCCAAGTTTTTTTTTAATACAAAACTTTTTCAGCAAGTAATCATATTTTTGACTGCTTAATTACCTTTTTCATGCCAAAAAATTTAGGGAAATAAGCATTTAAGTTACTAATATTCGGAACAATCAAATAAAATTGTAATCTTTTTATGGGTGAAAGGTCAATGTTATTCCTCAGTTTTTCTTACTTTGAATGCTTTTTAAAAACAAATAAAATTTGAAGTGACAGTGATAATATTTAAATACATTTTAACAGGCATTTAAAAATTAGTAAATATTAAATTGCTAAAAAGTGCAGTACTAATTTTTTAACTTATTATGCATTTTTGTATGTAAATTTTTGCATACGTTTGGGTAGTTATTACTTACGTGTCTTAGTAAATGCACGTACTTCAATATGCATTATTACGAATAAATTTGCTTTATCCATAAGTTTATAAAAGTATATGCATTTTTCTCATCAAACAATTAATAATTTCATTGTCAATGCTTAGAGATAAAAAGTTAACAACTGATGTTTAGCAATGACCAATTTTATGCGTTATTTCACACTCCATAAATTCAAATATAATAAATGGATAAATAAATAAGTAATTAAGTAATTATCGCCTTTATAAATAAACATTTTTATTTTTATCCTTCAAAAACATTTTAATTAATTAAAAAGAAATCAAAAATTATTTATCCGAATTGAGTAGTCATTTGCTATCAATTTTTTTATGAATATAATAATCAAAATTTTCAAAAATTTCAAACTAAAAAAATGATTTATATTGTTTTTGTATTTTAATTTAAGTATTACAATTAAAAAATATTTCACTCGCCATCGCTTTATTATTATCTTTGCATAACAAGCAAATCTCTAATTATTGTTAATTCAGTTCAAAAGACTTTAATCAAATAAGATATTATTAAGATTAAAAGAGATAAAAGGTATAAAAAATGATAACTCGAGATTTGTATTTAATTAATTGTTTTCAAAAAGTTATGACCTTCAAGGGTGAGACAAAGCTAGTGCGACCGTCCTTCCTGAGTGACCTATAATCCTTTTATCCAGAAATATTCAACAGAGTATAAATAAAAATGCAATCATAGCAATAGCAATTAACAAAACCTTCAATAATATTTTCGGATTATTACTATCAATAATGATAAGTGATAATATCAATGCCTTGTATGCATTATCCTTATTGATACTAATATTTTTGGCCTGGAAAATAGCTCATTTATATAAAAGTGAATATATATATATACAGCATTTAGTCACTCACAATCTATAATAAAACTGTAATAAAACAACAGAATGGCAGTTTTATTTTAAGTGAATTATTCACGAGAGATTATTGCTTGCGTAAAAATGAAAAAAATACTGGAAATGATTAATGAATGAATTTATTTATTAATCTAAAAAAGGAAATAATCATAAACATATTTACTAATTAATCTCATTACTTAATAAAAAGTATTAGCAATAAATATTGTCATCATCTAATGATAGTTTTAAATTAAAAATGTGAAGCAATTAATCAAAGTTATGATTTATATAATTATTGACATATTTAGCAATCTGAAAACAAATGCAAGTAGTAAACTATTGCATTTTATTTTAAAGGCTTATTATATTGTGTTGACAGAAAATTAGCACACAGATAATTATTGCTAATTTATTATTATTAATATTGATGCTTTATTCATTTACCCTTTTTTGGTCTTTTATTCAAGTCGAAAGGCTTCAAGAATATCACAGAAAAATGTTGTTATTGATAATACCAATCTTTTGAAAATAATAATTCTATTTGCAAATAATTCTGAAACCCAAGAAATATGAATCTCTTTGATTATGCAAATGTTTTTGAAACTTAGAATAAAGAAGGATTTGAAAATTTGCCAAGAATTGAATGAACTTTAGCCTTCAGATTTCTTAGTTAAAAATTTCTTAAAAAAATTAGAATATTCATAGCAAAAAAAAACTATATAGCTGATTATATTATTAAATATTAACTTATCATAAAACTAATTAAATAATACAAAGTAAATTTCCAGTTAGTTTACTAAATTAATGCAAAAGTTTATTACTGAAGTTTAAATTTTTGGTGAGTGAAAAAGATTGACTTTGTGAAAATAATTTTTGAGCATATGTTATTTATGAAAATGACAACTTTTGAAAACTGACATTTACGCAGTAATTATTTTTCAAAAAATTTAACGTAAATATACTTTGCGTACTTTTTGAGATTCCTTTATTATTTATACGTTATACATTTTTTTATTATTTATACGTTATACACTTTTTTTATTATTTATACGTTATACACTTTTTTTTCTTTTGTCCAAACGATCAATGGCATACTTTACGAGTTAAGTACCTTAAAGTAAGTATAATTTAGTACACATTCCGTCATTTCTAAAGTTGACCAAATAGATAGATATATCTATTTAGTATAAACTTTTCAGATTAGTTTTTATTTGTACTAAAATTAGACAGCAAAAAATTTAAATTAAATTTTTTATTCACAGTCTAATGGCTAAGTTATAAAAGTAGAATATGTTATTTCCATTTTTGCAAATTTAATAAAAAAAGCTAACAAATTCAATTTAAGTCTTTAAATATTTCTACGCACAAAAAAGATAAAATTCTGAAAAATTTTAAAAATCAAAGCAAAGTAATCAGTAATCATATTTATTATAGTAATCTTGTATAGTAATCATATTTTATTTATACAGTAATAATTTTTTTGCTAGCTAATAATTTCTATTGGCAAAAAACTAAAACTTTTTAATTTTTTATTAATATTAAAAATGATTATTGTCTGATTCACTTTGGCCTTTTTTGAACTTTTAGCTTACATCATAACTTAACAAAGCCAAAAGTAAGCACTTAAGAGTAATTGCTATAACTCAAAATTATAGAGATAGAACAACTTCCACAATTTACATTTTACAGACATTATTACCTCAACATTTCCAATTCTTATATTTTACACTCCAAATAATTTTACAAATATTTCAAAAAATATAAAAATATTTCTTCGCTTTAGCTAAAAATAATAGCAGTTATAAAAATTAAAAGAAATAATTTGCATACAGTAATTCAAATTATTTAGCAGTGAAGTAAATATTATAAGCAGTGTTGTACTGTTTATTAAATTTAATGCAAAAGGTATATAATTTTTGAAAATTATTTTAATGGTAACGGAAGGTCAAGTTAAGGTTAAATATGAAATTAAAAATAAGCAGTAAAACGTACGTGAAGACTTTATTCGAATGAATAGAATAGATTATACTTAAGAAATGAGTAACAAACTGGAAAATAACAATGAACGGACAAAATTAGTAGGCAAATAAGTATTAATCTGAGGGCTTGCAGAAAAAAATCATAATTTAAAATTTTGCTAGCAATTATTGCAGGAAGTGATGTTGTTAGAGGTTTATTATTATTTCTCGCGTGAATTCTTCTTAAATATAATCAAAAAAAAATCCAATTAAGTAATAATTTATAAAAGCACCAAAATTTTTGAGATAATAATCAAATTGTTTGCTTGACATTATGTTTTACACAAAATTTGCGCCAAGAAAAATAAATAGATCATGATCAAAACTATGAAATTACAGTCAATTTGAAGTTTACTTCTCAAAATTGACCTTTGAACTGATTGCTTGCTTATTCTTTCTATTGTTGAAAAAATTCTAAAATAACTTTTGTTAACTCTTTAAAAAACAACATTATACATTTTTAGCCTACAGAATAGGACTAGCTTAGGCAGAAGAGATAGAATCACTCTTGTCTATAATTTGAAAATAAAATTTCATTTTAAAATAAATTAATTAGCTTTTATAATTGCTTAACAAAGTATATTCAATATATTCCAGTTGTGTCATGAGAAAATTGATTCATTTTCTAGCATTACTTGGTGAATAATCAGAAATCACTTGGGGAATACTTGGGACTAAAGCAAAATTAGATTCTGACAAGTATAACAAAGATGATAATAATGACGAAAACAAGAAAAATTATTCTTAAACGATATAATAATAGCATTTGTTATAATAAAATATTGCCCTTGTAGAAGTAATTGGAAGTTAAAACTTAAGTTAAATATGCTT